TATTGGTGTATTTCCTAACCACATACATTTACAAAAACTACATTCAATTTCTAACATAACTGCCAAATTTCCTTTAAAACCTTAGAGTAAAAGTAAGAAATATAGCACTTTGAACTATACGCACTGACTTCCGACTCGTACGGCGCGGCAGCCCCAGGACGGGTACAGAGTCCGTGGGGGTACGGCTAGGATAAAAAGAGTTAAGCACATCCAAGGAGAAAAACTTTGTCAGCCCTCTCAGATATGGTTTTGCGCTTTTACAAAAACGAAACGGGTAAAATTTAGGTCATTACCAACAAGTATACTGCCGATGTCTGCTGCAGATCTGGCACTGGATGATGATGATATTTTTTGCCCCAAAAGCCTTCCGATTTAGAACTATGAAAGGAGAAGAGTGAAAATAGCCACTCGCTCACTTCTGGAATTTCTTTTGAAATAGTGTGATCTTTTAGCTTCACATAGGAATTGTTTGTCCTGCTCTGTGGACCTAATGTGAGCATGTGTTTGTGGAAAGTTACAGAAGTTTCTGGTAGATGTAGGCGGCACTTTTACCCTTGGCTCATGGTCATTAAGTGGAGTGTACACTTGTATAACATTTGTGGTGACAGCCGTTCTGGCCAGATTTATCGAATGAGGTGGCTAATCTTGTTCTCAGCCCCAATTTGTTTAAAATATGTTGGTTAGTTTTATTGCATCATGGTGCATGTGTTTTACATCTTTTGCTAGGTTATGTGACAGGCATTGCTTATGGTAAATATTTCAAGGTAACTGGTTTTTGCACTGAGTAGAGTTTGGGGCAGTTTAAAAATGGAAATGGGTCTCTTTGAAGATAGGAGTGTAAGACATAGGATAAAGGACAAACACTTTTTGCCTCAATTGTTTGCTATTATAAGAGCGATATTATTGTGATGGAAAAAAAGATAAATGGCTCCATACTACCTGTCAAAATCAGGCTAATTTTTGCTTGCAGCTGAGGGTAAAGTTGATTCTTGCTGACTCCATTTGATATGTGATCTGACCTGCTCAGAGCATGTGGGCCCGACTAGCCAGGCAGACGTACACTTCACTTGACCGTTATATTACCCCCCTCCCACCCTCTGTTTGCTTGGTAGCCAATCCTCTCACTCTCACTCGTTTGAGAATGAAATGTTCCCTGGTGAGATTAGCGATGTGTACATATTATTATCGATAGTTTCTCAGTGTTTACTTCTAACAGAACTGAACTTACCCATCGTATCCTAAGTGTACAGAACGCTGTAGCGGTATGTTTATCTCGTGTAGCTTGTTGAAATACTGCCACTAGTTTTCTCAGTACAAGTTGTAAAGTCAATGCTGGTGAAATAACGAGTTAAATGACATACAGATTCCTTCAGATGGTTTTGTAAAATGTTCAATGATTGTATGGTCTTGTTTTGTTTGATTGATATTTGTTCAGTTGGCTCAAAAACGATGTGTGGATAATGTAATTAATTTTTCTTATTAAGGCTATTTGGGTGATAAGCATGTGAGGAGATGGGTAGTGAACATTCACCATGTTTAGTGGACTATTGGGCCAAAGACGAGAGTTGTATTGAATCTATTTGGGTGAATGCAATCTTTCTTCTCTAATCATAAAGGGGATAAAGTTATTTTTTCGTTCAAGTCTTTTTCTAGACATCCAATGACATTGAGCTTTAGTTTATGACAAAGAATAATACATGTCACAACTTTTTGATTTACACAGAGAAATTTAAATGCTGAAAGAATAGACAAAATGTTGTACTGAATAAATACCCAGATGTTGGGTCAAAGGGCGAGTGTTATATTACGTCGCTGCTGAGAAGTGCTCATTAGTCATTTTTTGCTGGGGAAAAAATGGATTTTATAAACTCAAACTTTAAGATGTCTTGGACTTGGAAATTGCAAATTCTAGGTTTTAAAATGCAAATACTTATTGAGAGGGGTGAAGTTTTTACAAAACCAGATGTGTATGTTGATGTGCATTGAATGAAAAAGAGAAAGGTGACAGTTATTCTCCACCTCCCCCCTCTCTCTTTCTTTCTCTCTCCATTTCTTTTTTTCGATAAGGCGGTTCTTCCACCGAAACCATCAAAAATGTATGATGAAGTAAGTGTTTGTATCCAAGATGGAAAATATCTTGAAACTTTAACACTTTTATCGTATGTTGTTTATTTTTCCTTCTTCTCATAACACAAATTGCTTTGAATTTTGTGTTCACATTACTCGGATAGGTACGCTTTATTTCCGACAGACTCAACTCGTGAAGCTATCTCGGGCAATATATGGAACCTTTTTGTTTTGTTGTTAATTCTTTTAAGAATCTGAAAAGTTGCATAGGGAAGAGTACATGAGCACTTTTTCATCAGCACATTGATTGTTTTTTTACATGATGTGAAGTCAGTGTTGAATGGTTTAGTTGTTTATAGACTGAACTAGAGTTTGCATGAGACGTTCTGAGTGTTGTGTTTTCTGACTGAACTAGAGTTTGCATGAGACGTTCTGAGTCTTCTGTTTTCTGACTGAACTAGAGTTTGCATGAGACGTTCTGAGTCTTCTGTTTTCTGACTGAACTAGAGTTTGCATGAGACATTCTGAGTCTTGTGTTTTCTGGGCTGTGTTTGTGATTGTGTCTTTTTTCTTCCTGGGGCAGACATACTGAATATTGTTTTACTGAGGGCTACGTTCCGTAGAATGGATTCAAGTTTTTAAAGTGAAGTTCACGTTCCGTCATTTTTATTATGTTTTTTAAAGCACCTAAATACATACTGTGTATGTGCTTTTGCCTTTGGTCTGTGTCTATGTCTGTATGCTGCATGTTTATGCAATATTTAGATTGTTCAAACAGCATTTTATCATTTTATCTGGAAAGAATTTTGAGAGGGTTGGAGATTGGTTAAATAGATTTGATAAATATAGAAGATTAACAGCCACACAAAACCATCAGAGGTTTCACTAACATTTTGCCCGCGAAAGAAATGTTAAAAATGATGTACCATTTGTACTATGCATCAGGCAGTACACAGGGTTGTTTGTCCAGATGTTTTAGTCAGTTTTCCAGCTTGTGATATCTACACATACTTTTTTCTTATTTACTGACTGTGTTAAACTGACGTCACTAGTTCTGTGGGGGTGTTGGGGGGTGCTCTGCTTTTGCCTGGCCTTGAGAGATTATGACAGATTGTGTCTGGTATTACCCTGGAATGTGCATGCACACCCTTCTGTTTCCCGCCAACGTCTACACGAACCACTGGTCTGTAGTGATGCATGTATTCCTTATTTGCGTGCCGATGTTGTTGTTGTTGTTGTTGATAGTTTGGTACAAGGCCAAGGTCGACAGACATTGTTGCACTTTGTTGTTGTTGTTGTTGTTGCTGTTGTTTCACTGTGTTTGTGCACTTAGGTGTCTGTGAGAAATAATGGTATAGGTACTGTGTGTGGTGACTGGTGGAATAGCATTCAAATTTTAACTGCTCTTTTCCCGAGTGAAGCCTTGAAAATGATGTTGGTTTGTAAGAACAGTGGCAGTTGTCTAAGTTGTTTGTTGTTTGTTTTGGGAAGCTGCCTC